ATCTCCCTCGTGGTTGGTCATACAATGCCAGGAGGCCTCGGCCTATGCTAGGCTGTGGGGCTTTACTGCTACACCGTGCCAAGTCAGAAGTGTGATGTCATCTTTTGACTACAGTCCCAGCATAATTATTGATGGAAGAGGTTTTTTTAACCGCATTATCCCGACCCGTGCCTTTGAACATCTATGTATTGCTTGACACCGTGCATCATTGAATGGGCAGGACGCGCGTTGAAATTTCTTCATGATTTCAAATTGAAATCGAATGGTGAAGGAACAACCATAATCACCAGGAATAGAGTTATGCTTGAGATGAGATTACTACTGTCATCACTTTGCTAATGAGTTTTTGACTTTTATAAATTATAAATACATCTTACATATGTTATAACAATGCATAACTATTTTAAGAGCTAACGCAACTGCCATGTGCGCTCACATTCGACGATCAGATTTCGTCGAGTTAGCTGTCGCCACAGACCTTCACAAAAGCGTTCGTGACATTGAGAGCATTGCATTTCAACAGGTGAATTTTATCACTGGAAATAGAGAATAAAGGCACAACCAAGGCAAAATCCCTTCGGCTTGAGAGATGAACCATGAGAGGACATTCACAAATGTGGCACCGCAGTGGATGAAATTTGCCTATAAGGATGCGATGGCCTGCAAAGTTAGCTGCGGCAGCTGCAATTTTATTCTTTCATCAAGCTGTTGTACAGTCCCCTTTAAAGTGCTGCGCTCTCTCGTGTCTTACTCTCGTCTCCGCGCTCAATCTCTCATCGCCTTACAAAAGCGGTCTTGCCAATGGTTTCTTGCATGACATTGGCACATGTGGGAACCACAGAACCATGGTTATTTTTCCTGAACGGCCCTCTGAATACCAGAAAAGGGGTCCCTAGTTCGATTCCTCGTGGTGACAAATTTTTGCATTTCGAGTTGACGTTTCAAAATTCGCGCAAAATGGAGTTAGCATGAATAATTAGTACCATATTCATGATTAGGACCGTCAGTAACCCTTAAAATAGACTTTGATTAAAAAACTGGTGAAAAAGGTGTGACACCACAGTGGGGCCTTGGTGTCACACCTTTTTCACCAGTTTTTTAATCAAAGTCTTTTTGTAAGGGTTACTGACGGTCCTAATCATGAATATGTTCATGCTAACTCCATTTTGCGCGAATTTTGGAAACGTCAACTCGAAATGCAAAAATTTGTCACCACGAGGAATCGAACTAGGGACCCCCTTTTCTGGTATTCAGAGGGCCGTTCAGGAAAAATGAACCATGGTTCTGTGGTTCCCGCATGTGCCCCTATATCATGCAAGAAACCGTTTTGAAAAAGCTTGGCACCCTGAACACCTCCCCTGTTAGCGCAGCCGAGTACGAAGGTGAGTAGCCCTTAACACATTCACGACGACGCCCCTTTTCCACTTTTCGGTCGCGTGGGACGGACGCGATTTTGTGGGCGCCGCCGCCTCACCACATAACCGCAGATTTTGTTTTGTAAATGAACAAAAACATGAATGTCACAAAATAATTTCTGCAATGTCCAATGCGTAAAGATTATCTAAACATATAACAGTAGGATTTCGATCAGAACGACAAATAGTGGTTACGAAAAGAGAGCATTTATTCACTTTCCCCGTGAAGGAATTTAAAAGCATTTTACACTCGATTACGAGGTTTGCCCACCTATCTGTCCATTCCTAGCGCCTGGCAAGCGTTGGCAGCCCATATGGGCTGCCATCGTCCCAGGAGCGCATGTTGTTGGCAGCCCATATGGGCGGCCATCGGCGTGAATGTGTTAACTTGAGCGTATTCGATAGATCCTTTCTCTTTTTTCGTTACTGCCGGCTCCACCAATCTGATTCTCGAACATGTTTTTGGAAAGGAAAGAAAGAAAAACTCAGAGTGGGTGAAGCAAAACATCCAATACGAGAGAAGATTTCCACTGGGGAAACACATTTCTCTGTATGTACTATAATAGGTGAAGCATTCAACGTCAGTCGATCCCCTTATGAGATGCGCCACGTTCTCTACATTTATCCAGAATCCTAGTGGCTCCACGAATCAGTCTGGGCTCCACAATGGCTTCATGTGGCCACGCGACTCTTTTACCAATTATTAGACTCTGAAGGAGTGGAGGACTAGGTTGGTCTTGTTGCGATGAGATGCGTGGTTGGATCCCATTCTGGAGGGTAATTGCACTGCTTAAGTTCTGCTCACCCATCAGGTCATCTTTAAGAGAATCCAGATTTTCATTGATCTCTGCAGGTAGCCGCAGAAGTGGCCGCAGATGGATTAGACGTGAGCAGTAGAATTAAGAAGAGGTGAAACTCCAGTTCGGGGGGGCCACTCCATTGCTATCTTATCCGTAGTACTAGAGAGCAGTTCTTTGGGCTATCGAACACTACGGATAAGATAATAAGTGAACGACTCATTTCGAGCGTACTTTTGATAAGGACCGGTGGATGTCCTACATTCCACACTACCTGCCCACATCCCATCCACTTTTCTGCACAGGTGATCCACCCTGGAGCTCCTGCACCCTTAGCCCTTTGCGGAGGTGTCCTTTCTCCTGGTCCAGGACCGTTCCCTTTGGTCTTGGCAGGCGAAAATGTGGAAAAT